CGCGATTTTAAATTATCGATTTTAAAACGATAACACGAGCCGCGACGAATTACCGGAAATACCGGGGAACGATTCGTCAAAAAGAAATAAATAAATAATAACTGCAAAGGTCGTTCGCGCGCACGCGTGCTCGAAGAGGAAATGCACTTCCTGCACGCTTTCATTTTCGTCGAGTATTTTTACGAACGAGAAAGAAAACACGAAGGTCGTTTCGTTGTTTCAATTCGATTCTCAAAATTGACTTCCCCTCTTGGAAGACAACGACAATGACCCTTTGGTTCTCTGATTGTTCCAGAAACCCGTGGATCAAGTGAAATATATCCACGCCGTTGATTTGCAACCTTAGCAGCCTGATACATTGCCAGAAGACGGAAAGCGAACAAAATGTCGATTGTAATGCAGTATGTAGACCGGCTACATGAGATACTTGACAAAAATGCAGGTAAGTATTTTCAAGGAAGATCGATACGCGCAAACTACACGCTGTGGTACAGCGACTGTTCACACAGGTCTTCTCGTCTTTTCGAGGAGAATTCCTTGTGAACGGTGCTTAAACATTGAGAAACATCTCAGGGACGATCACTGGCCGGTGACTGGAAACGATTTTATTAAAAGCAGGAACAGGAAAGACCCTCTCCCTCCGTTCGATTCTCGTCTTTCTGCTTTCGTTTCGCTTTTCACCTTGGCTCTAAGCCGGCGTTGGCTTGGCGGCTAATCGAAATTCGTGGCCAGCGTCTCCCGAAGTGAATTCGATGAAAAACGCGGAATGTAAAAATTGGATTTTTTCTTTTTTTTTTTTATTTTGGATTCCTTGATGAAACGAGATTTGATTGAATCGCTCGGTGATCCTTCTTTCATTCTTTGCTTTTCATCGAGCGCTTCGTGTTTAAAGGCATAATTGCTACGGTTGACAAAGATGTTGCAACAGCGTTTTAGGTCACGTCACAACAAAGTATTGCGTTTCATTTAAAAGAAAAAAAAAAAAAAAGAAAGAAATACTGGCAAATGATAATATTAACCCCCTGACGATCAAACTTTTATCAAATATTTTGAGGAGAATGTTTTCTACATTTTTAATTGCATAAAAAATACTTTTGCCAGAGTAGAAGTAGAAGAGCAAAAGAGATGGAGTGTAACGTAATTGTTCCGTTTTAATCATTAAAATTTATTGCAAATATGATGACTGAAAAAAACTGAGATCGATTGCATGAACTTCTCAAGGGACTTACTCTTTAAAGTGATATTGATTGAAAATTCAATGTAATTTGCAATGTAATTGCGAATAATGCACGTCAAATGTGACAAAAAATGACGTTAAAGACGAAAGTAAATACTGGTATAAAAATATAAGATAATATTCATTTTCGTGTGTAACGCGAGTGATGTGAAAAGTATGCAGACTCTATAGCATATAACTTTATATAAATGAAAAAGATAAAATACTGAATTCCCGATAAGAAGTATTAATGTACGTAAATGGTATAAGCAAATAATTGTTCGAGTAAACGAATGAAACGTAATACGTGACATTATTTAACGTAGTCACGTTGCACAAAGATAACATCGACTTAATGTGAAAACAATAAGAAGTTGAAATCGTCTCATTCAGAGCGCTTCCAAAAGAGTAAACTTAAACTTCCCGTATTAAGAAAAAACAAATTGTTCGAAACAGTTTATTCTTCACGAGAAATTACGTCAGTAATGCGGGCACATTTTAAGTAGAAATCATTGAGTAGAAAATTTCCCAGAAAACGGAAGAGAAAAAATCCAGGTGTTTATTTAAACAGGAGTCAAATTTAAATAATAGCAAATTATCACAAGAGAAAAGCATCATCCATCGTGCAATAATCAAATGCCAAATATTCCGCATTTTAACTGAAACACCGACTTGTTTCATAACCCGACTTTCGCTGTTTTTTTAGCCGCAGCTACGCATTTTTAGACTTTGCTCTCACAAAAGAACTCTAACTCTCGTACAAATTATTTCTTAATACATACTCCATCGTCGAAATTTTAACGTGGATTGAACGTCAAAAAATGACGCTTCGTAGCATGAATGTCTGTTTGGCCGGCTAAAAGAAGGAAATATGCTGATATTGCAAAGGATCGGCGCTAGGGAATTCCAGAATTCCACACGTTCCTAAAAGCGAAAGAGTATCCTCCTGCGTGTACCACTTGTAACTCTTATTTATTATTAACGCAAGTATATATGCCTCAAGAAAGTTTGGGAATACTCTGTTCCTTCTCTCCTCTATTTTTTTCCCTTTCTCCCAAAAACTTCTGCCAAGGATGAACCTATGAATTAATAAAGATTAACGAGAAGTCTCATGATCGAACGGCTTGATCCCTTCTCTTGCTGAATTACTCCGGCACGAACGAGGAAGCACGAAATCGGAGATTTCGACTGCACAGAGCGAGTGGAAAGAAAGGATAGAATTAACCAAGGTAGAATGTCATTATGGTTAAGCAAACGTCGTTCGTCGCGATGCAGTAGCAATCTGTATAAAAAAAA